ACTGACAGACAAATGCCAGCTTTAAAAAGACACCTGCCCAGAATTGTGACCTCTGCTTTGGGGAAGTGTGGCCACCAAATGGATCTCCCAATTCCCTAGTAGTTAAAAGTCTGAATGCTTTCAGGACCTAAAATCTACCTCTAATGGTTAGAAACTATTTTAATTTTTTAAAAATTCATACTGTTAATCAGAATGTTTCATATATATATATATGCACATATCTATACAGAAACAGATGTTATTTGCATTATCTTACTGTCACTTCCGAGATCCAAATGTAGACTTCTGACATACCCACCACTCATTTTTTGGTACTGACCAAATGTTTCTGATTAAAATGATGGTTTTTGAGCTTGATTTAGTCCCCTAACATATTATTTATTCTTCCCAGCTTTGAATCCCTTGAAAAATATGATATACATAAATTCTATTTATTCATCTTATTCACTCAGATAAAAATGTTGGCTTAGACCATTTTTTAAAAGGCCACTTAGAGGCCTATCCCTATTCATTTCCCCCAAAGAGCCCATCAATCTACTAATAACTAGGGAGCCGAAACGGCTGCTTCAAAGCGGTAACAACATCTCACCAGTCTTTATCTTTCTCTAGGAAATGTACCAGAGATGCTTGCAGACATTTTGTTGCTATCTAGATGTACTCTCCTGGCAGCTTCTCCAACATGAATAGAGCTGTCCACAGCCAGAAATGGGGGACGTTTGCTATCCAATCCAGAACTCAAATTCACTCTGACTCAAATGCTTTTCTAAAAGAAATAAAAGAAATGTACCTGAGTGTTGAGCTTGAAGCCATGGCTCTACCACTGGAGAGCCAGTCATGAGAGTACCGGCCTCATCCTCGAGCAGGTGGACAGGCTAAGCTCCTCCTCACTGGGGCTGTGAGGATCACAAGGATGGGCAAGTTGCTTGGAGCACAGCAGCCTCTTAAGAAATCACAGCAATCACCTTTTCGCTTAAGAATGCTGAGAGGTGGAGGAGGGCTCCTCAGGTCCTTTCACCTACTCCTCTATAACACTGATGCTAACAAATCGCTGGCAGATGCCTCTACAATTGGTGAACTCCATTTATCTCACTCTGGGAGGACATTACAGTGATCCTTCCCATTACAAGTGAGAGCAGATTGTTTCCTCTTTAATTCTGAAGGGCGGCATTAGTATGATTGGTGTCCTTTGTGTAGAAAGAGCAATGTCCATCATCCATTTGCTCTCTGCAAAGTGTAAAGCAGGGTGCTCCCCCCTCGACACACACACAACTACCAGAGCAGTGTCCCCTCCTTGTTCTGGGGCTTTGGCTGCCCACTGTCTTTCTTAGCAGCTGGCGGGGACACTTCCCTTGAATACACTGAACAATAAGAACATTAACCATTTTTCAAGACAGTCTACTTTAACAAGCTCAAGGGCTTTATATTAACTAGTTCAGAGGGTGTTTTTCTTGCTCAAAATAACTTGGCTATCTCAAAAGCTGGGACTACAATTTTGAAGGACATTCAATCCCCATCTTTTCATTTCTCTCAAGGACCTCTTACTGTTCTTCACAAATGTTATCACCATTCTCTACAACGATCAGATTTGTGAGGCTTGAGAAACCAATTTTATTTGTGCAATTTAATTGACAGTCCATTCATCCACCCTTGGAGGATTTCTGAAAACTCAATGTGGATTTCATTCAAAATACATAAATAAGTGGCACAGAAGTATATTGACCAATTTTTATAATCATAAAGCATGTGCTTTATATGTGATTAAAATTAGTTCTGAACATTTTTTTAAGTTTTAAGTCTTTCTAAGTTCTATCCCCCATTTCCCATTTCTCAGACCTAGATGCTGGGATTCTGTTAAGGCATCCTGAGTGAAATAATTTAGTGGGTTGGATCAGAGTATAGCAGAGTGATGCTAAATGGGCACTGAAGGCCAGATTTACTTCTACAGGACAATGTATCTGAGCTGATCTAGACACTGCTGTCTTTCCAACTTGCCTTGTGGAAGATTTAATAAAATGGTATTTTATTACCAATGTATTAAATTGCATCATAAAGTGAAGTAGAATCTATTGAGTAAAAATAAGTGAGTGTGTGGATAAAATGGGATCTGGGCTCTGTCCTCCAAGGTCAACAGCCAAAGCTGAGCTGAGGTCATGAGTGACAAAGCGCTCATTATTAGAGGCTTGACCTCAATCCAGGCACAGCAAACAGCAGATTGACATCGTCAAGTTATTCCTGCCGATGGCAGTCCAGTCACCTCTCAGTAACCCAGACCTGGCTAATTGTCTGTGTCCTTGGCTAAATGGGAGCAAAAGCAGCCACAGGTGAAAACCATCACCACCTTGTTCAAGATGGTCATGTGGCCTGTGGTCCTTGTTTTCACTTCTCCTGAGCTAAAGAGAAAAGAACTAAGTGTGTTCCTGTTTCTCTTAACTGTGTTGGTTCTAGAATGTCACTGGCCTTTGCTTCTACAGGGCCTCTGGTGACAAATGGTACAAGTCCTACTCACTGGAAGTGGAGCAGTATAGCATGCTGTAAAGAAGGCCTTATAGAGCCCCAGGGAGGACCGTTCAGGTTTGGAAACTTGTCATGTGCCCACGGACAGAACGTACATTTACAGAGAGAATGTGACTAGCCAACACCAAAAAAAAAAAAAAAAAAGTAACCAAAATTTTCTCAAACACAAGGGAGTATGCTGTGGAGGACATGGCTTCACCTACGCGGAAAGCTGTCTGACTCAAGTGCTGGTCAATCAAATCGCCAACTAGGGCTAGGCCAATGCTGTGCAGAAATCTGTGTAAGTGCTGACAAAAGAAGATTCAAGATGCACTTGGGACTGTTAGTGCCATCTGGTGGGGCATTTAAATGACTGATTCAGTTGGCCTTGGCAGGGCAGCTGGGACGGCAAATAGAAGGGGACGGCAAATAGAAGGGGACCACGGGGCAAAGAGAATCTGCTCCAAAGACCGGGGGTGGGGGGTGGGGCAGTGCTGCCACAGGGCTTTGGAGAATGATGGAATTTCTCAGTCTGCAGCTCCTGGCCTGGGTCCATCCATATACTGTGCTGCCTGTGTTCTGCGCTCCTGAGGCCAGGCCCCAGCCTTCAGAGACTGCATTAACCATCTGGGTTTGCCTGCCGTGTCAACACCCAGTAAGGCTCTGAGAAAGCAGCCTTATCTCTCTGTGTTCGATTCATACTTTCAGAAAACCCACAAGAGTCCTCACCCTGAACAGACATTCCACTGCTCATGGGAAAGTCTCTGGTCTCAGTCCTCCAGGCAGTTAGATTAAAGCTGACTCACAGACAGTTCCAAAGCTGCTCACCACAAGGGAACAAAAGCAGCCACCTGCCAAAAGTCTGGAAACACCCTTGGGTCTGGTGCCACTGGCTGGTCTGTGGGTCTTTGGCATCTACTTGGTAGTGGGGCCTTGGCTATCTACAGGCTCTTCTTGGCGCACATCTAGTTCTGACCCAGATCTGACTGTTGACCTCGGGTCTCCCAGGCTTGATATCTCTTTCCCTGTTGACGTCTAGATCCTAACCCTGATTCTGTTCTTGCCATGCAGATCCTGGTAAATTTCCCCTCCTTGTCATCTGTCACCCGAGGCTCCCCTCCAGTGGGGACAGGCTGTGCCCCACCTGCTTCACTTGGAACCGATCCCTATACCTGTTGTCCCATGTCCCATGGGTCTAGAAATGGATACTCCCTGAGCTTCACCCTCTTTGGCCAGATTGTGTTAGCGCCATCTGCATAATGGGGAGCTTTACATCCTCCAGGAATGGCACCCTGCTTTGCCATGTCCCACCTATCCATGTATCTTCTCAGTGGCAACCTTGTCCTGTGCTGGGCACTGGACAACCTGATCTCAGATTCATTGGCCTACCTTCTCCCCATTGGCTTGTTCCCAAACTCAACCTCAGTTCTTAGCCCAGGGAAAACTGGAGCCCCACAGATGGCAGTGTCAGACTTCCAGCCCTTGCCTTCAACCTCGCCTCCCTTAAAACTTCTCCACATTGCAAGACCACCCAAGAGCAAACACCCACCTACCTGGAGGAGAAGAGCAGAGGCAAGAAGCAGTCAATCTCCTCCAGGCATGGTGGCATATTCCTGCAATCCCAGTACTGGAAATGGGGCTGAGGCAGGAGGATCACAAGTTGAAGGCTAGCCTGGGCCACAGACCTAGATCCTGTCTTCAAACACACACACACACACACACACTCACTCACACACACACACTCACACACACACAGACACACACACACACACACACACACACACTCACACACACACACACACAGACACACACACACACACACACACACACACTCACACACACACACACACAGACACACACACACACACACACACACACACTCACACACACACACACACAGACACACACACACACACACACTGTGATGAACCCCCCCCCCAACACACACACAGAGTGATGGGTTACCCATAGTTCACCAATAGTTTCTTCGCCAATGCAATGACCCATTGAAGAAGATTAGTCACCTACCTAGTCACAAGGTGGCTATAAGGGTCAATCTGTATACCAGCACTGTGACAAATATCAATTCTGACAATCAATCTGGACCTATCACTACTGCAAACCAATCAAAGAGCAGCACATCCGCCTCCCTCACCTGGACCAGTGGTTCAAAGATAGGAGGGAGTCACGCGCTCTTCTCTGCCCGCCTCTCTGCTTGCCTTTGTCACTGCAAACCTCGCACTGTACTGCAATCGCCAGTTCCACAGAGAGACCGTGTCTAACTCGTTACTGAACAAGCACATTGCCAGGAACCTGGAAACGGCTTTGCCAGTGACTGATGAAATGTGTGAAGAAACAGGAATGAATGAAACGGGGTCTAGTTTCATACACCTAGAGCCAATGGGACACTTGATATGAGACAGCAGAGTCAGAGTGACTTGACGACGGCCATCGCGTCCCATGTGGGCCGTGCGGACACCTCTGCGTCAAGCCTGCCTTGCACTCACCGGTACGGCTCCATGGTGCGCAGGGCGTAGAGCAGGGCCTCCTCTAGCATCCCCAGGTTGATGCAGGCATCCATGGCACAGTCGAGCACCTTCAGCTGGTAGATGTTGATGTCGGGAAGCCGGTCAGAGTTGCTGCTTATGATCGCCTGGCACAGGGCCAGAACCTGCTCCCACTCTGTTATTAACTGAGTTAAGGATGCATTGTCTTCATCAAGAAAACACAGAAGCAAGCGGAGATGTCTAAAAGGCTGAAGAGCTTCCAGGCCCGGGAGGGAGGAGGTGCCCATTATTTCACACAGATGAGCTGCCTGGAAACATACTTGAGAGACAAAAGCACGTTCAAGTGCCGTCTTACCGAAGTGAGGTCGGTTTACATCAACAAACCGTCCTCTAGCCCAGCCTGTACTTTAGGAGAATTAGAAGTCCCCAAGAAATATTCCTTTTTCACACGTCTACATGTTTTCTCCTTCAACTTAGTTGAGAAATGAATGAAGGTGTTTATTAAACTGGACTGAAGCTTGAGCTCAGCTTCAAATTGTTTACTGTGGAATTATTTCTGTTTAAAAGAGAGAATCCCTTCTGAGAAAGGAGGAGCATGAGTTTGCTTCTGACTCATCTGAGTCCTGGATGTGCATGGAGCCCAGTCCACACCAGTGTGCAGGCCTGCAGAATGTGCAGCCATCTGAAGAAATGCATTTCCAGTGGGCTTTATATTTAGTGTTCGTTATAACACAAAAGTGACTCAAACCTAAACTCCACTGAAATAAATGTATTCTTACTGTAAACCCAAAAATTGGGTTTAAAGTAAGCGGAGGCAGGTGGATCTCTCTGAGTTCGAGGGCAGCTTGGTTTACATGGCAAGTTCCGGGACAGCTAGGACTACATAGCCAGAAACTGCCTCAAAAAGCAACAGAAAGAAAGGAAGAAAACTATCAAGAACAGTTTTTATATGTGTGCCCTGAGCAAGGGAAAACACCTGTGCTGCTCAGTGGCACTGACTTCTGATTAATCACGGGCCAATTAAATCGGTAATTAATTTCACATGTGATATTCCACGCCCTGTAAGTTGCCCCTTACTATACTCGAGGTGGCCTCTAATCCCTGCTCACATAACCCATCTACCTCAGTCTCCTGAGTAGCTGGGCCTACAGGTATGTGGTACTTGGTCCAGCTTTGAACCCCGCCTTTGCAGACGGATATCTGCATCCTCTTACAGAGGAAGCTGGAGGGCTGAAGACATGGGGCTTCCTCCATGCCCAGCTAAAGGTGCATTGCCGGGCCCAACGGGGGTCACCACACTGCTCCTCTGCTCCCCTGTCGTACTGAGACTGGGCATCTCTCCGCCCTCTCCCCATTTCCTGCCACTGTCCCTCTATGCTATTCTGCTTTGATGCTAGAATTCCACTTGGAGAAAGTGGTCTGAAGATTCAAACTACAGAAGAAACAGTCCAGAGCTTTCATCATCCATAGAGCTTGGTTCAAACCTAAGCTTGTTCTACCGTCTTCAGGTTTTGAACTTTGAGAAAGTCAAATGCTTCAAGGTAGGCTAGAAACAAAACACCTGTCTCAGTGACTATCAAATAAGACACTGTATCTAGAAATTGGAGGATCTTCTTGTGTCCTCCCATGAGCTAGGCAGAGTTCTGGGTGTCATGGTTGGAAAGTTTACTGGGGCATGCAAAGCATATGGCAGAGATACCACTCTCCTTCCTGTGGCAACCCCTGACCTGACAGGCTGAAGGGAAAGAGGCTGGAGTCGCCCTCCCTCTCCCCATCTCTCCTCTCCCCATCTCTTTACAATACCATACTCCATGCTCTTCTCCTAAGCCTCTACTGTAGCCTTCTTCGTCAGTGTCCTGACAGCAAGCCTCACCGGAACAGACAGCCCATGTGTGCAAACCTCCTCTCTCCCTCCCCCCACAGAATCCACTGTGCACTGCCTGTCCCTGCAGAGCTCTGCTTCCAAAACACCAGCGAGGCTTTTCACCAGCCAAGCCCCACCTGCAAATGGGAATACTATCTTCATGAACCGACTGGAAGAGACGCTTCCTCTCAGCTGAGGCACAACACCTTCCTCCAGAGCGTCATTTCCTTGGGAAGAACTGCAAGCTGAGGAGCTTTGTGTCACCTCTTAGGGGCCAGTCCTGGCTCTGATCCCAGAAGGGGTTCACGTACTGAAGACAGTGATTTGAAGTTATTGACAGTTGGTGATTTTCTTTTGTATTCCTGTGACATGGATGTTTCACGTTTGCTGAGCGGGTCCTCCAGAGGTTGGGGAAGCGGCTTCTTAGGCAATGTGCTGATTTTGAAACAGACTGCCATGCTTAACCTCATGGCTTTTCATTCCAGGATTAGATGTTTGACAAGCTGTCAGGAGGAATGGCTGTCTCTTACACAATGCCAGACATTTCTGTGGCAAGGCTCGGTCGGGCCTTATTGTAACATCGTTCGATGGATCCCACTGTTGCTTGTCTACTCATTTCCATGAAGTGCTCCACCTCATGAGCAGCTGAGGTGAGACGCCTTAGGAGTGGAAACCAGATGTGATACGCTGTACCCACTCACAGAGATACATCCACACACCCTGTGTCAAGCGGGAAAGGACCTCTTGCCAATCTCTCCCCACAATATTGGCAACTCTCTCCTGGCAAACAAGGCAAAACTTTTCATGTAAACTGCTCCAGGGAAGGGGGAGGGAGGAACAGTTTAAACTACAAGGCTCTTTCCAAGTTAATGCAGACATTTATCTGCCCAGAAATTTATCCTTGGCACCTGTAGTGTCTGCTATAACCACTGTTCCAGTGAGCTCTATGCCAAAGAGGACCCCGAGGGCACGATGGGGGCTTTCTTTCAAATGCCCCTGACTGTAGACGGGTGAGGACAGACAGTCAGACAAGGGAGTGGAGTCACTTGGGAATTAGTCATCTTCTTAGGACAGGCTGTCAGAGCAGCCCATCTAGCCATGCTATTCTGCTTAGCATCATTCTGGGCCCCTTTGCATAAAAAAAAAAAAATGCGGCCATTTCCAGCAGCTCTTTCCTCCTGTGTGGCACAATGTCACCTGTGGACTGGCATATTTCTTCCCTCTGAGGCACCCTCCTCCATGGCTATTCTAAAGTCCAACTCACCTCCCCAGATACAGGACAGTCAGTCATCACCTCCTTTATAAAACCAAATCTATCTCCCTCCCTCCCTCCCTCTCTCTCTCTCTCTCTCTCTCTCTCTCTCTCTCTCTCTCTCTCTCTCTCGTGTGTGCACATGTATGTATGTGTATCTTTACCAAAATATGTATTGTACTATTCTGCCTCGCACGATTATAATGAAATGTCTGATGTGCGGTACCCTATTAATGAAAGGCTTGTGAGCTGTGGAGGTTCAAGAACAAGTTCAGATGGCCCCATTGGTTTGGCCTCCGGTGAGGTAACCAGAGGGCAAAGGTGAGAGTGGGTGTCAGAATACGCATTCACATGTCAAGATGGGAAGCAGAGTGAGGCTGAGAGACCAGGACTGATGGCCTCCTTGAAGGCATCTTCCCAATGACTTCTCAGTAGGTTCCACCCCTTAAAGGTCTGCCATACCTCCCATAAGGGGCACCCTGGGGGCCAGATTCTGACATATGGGCCTATAAGAAATACTCATCTGAACCACAGCACATAGTGCTTTGCATAATTACTACCCCACTATGTGAGAGTTTTGAATATTGGACTGTGTCTTGTAATTTCTGCCTGAATCACAAGGTAGATTAGACTAGCCAAATACCTGTCGAGTCAGTTTCCACTTAAACCTCATCCAGGCGAGACTGAAATGCACCTTGGTCCTCTATGGCCTGGTTTCTGCTGCATAGGACCACGGAAAACAAGACTCCTCAGCTGTGTAGCAACACTAAGCCTCTGAGCGTCACCCCTGAGCATGCTGTTTCCTAGTCCCTTTCATCGCCTTGACTGGTGGAGTTTCAAACGACTCAGCTCTGTCCCAGTGCTCGTAGCGAATTTAATTTCTCTACAGCCCTATTAATATGCCATAGCCCAGACTGAGTCTGAGATTCCAGAGAGCATCAGCCCGGTACCACTTCCTTTCTCATTTTCTATTCTGTATTTCTATGACTGCAGCCCAAGATCACAGTTGTCCTTGGGGAGTTATAACATACTTGTACACTTTATTAAATTTGACTATTTACCAAAACCATATAATCCTCTGGTGTGCTCTGCTGCCAAGCTTTATGCAGCTTCACATGCTTCAGTTTCCTGCCACAAATAGACGACTTTATATACACTCTTGTCAAAGTTCAGCTCCTGAAGATCAGTCACCATGCAGTCTGCCAAGGAGCCGTCGCTCTCATGGTTCTGTTGTCCTTTCTCTGCTGCCCTTCCCATCTCCACGTGCCTGGATAGTCTCTTCATTCCAGGTACTGAATCAAAGGTGCAGGAGGCAGAGCACCCCAGATCGACACTTGTGTCATTTGCCAATTGAGTTAGATGCCTGGATCTGCTAGTATAGAACACAGATGTCTTGGCTATTTCTTTTCAAAGTCTCTCATGAAATCTAGGTGCAAACTTTACCAAAAAAAAAAAAAAATCACTGACTCTGGGGATGGATCTGTTCTTAGTAAAACCATAAAGCAACCTGTTCGTGGCAGCCTTCTTTTCTTTCTTACTAACCAACTGTAGTTCATTAGTCAGACCTAACAAACCCACCGAGTTAATGATTTCTGTAATTACATAGGTCACTATTAAAAGGAGAACCTACCCATCTTCCTGTCCTTCACAGTTCTCTAACAGCATTGTAGACTGGAAACCTTATTTGCAGATTTTGTTAGTGCCGGAGACATCTTTCAACCCAAAGCATCTGGTGACCTCTTGGTGACCTTTCCACACTCTACAGTCTCTTTCTTACCTGTAGTTCCGCCATCACATTTGTGTCCCGGTGGAGTCCTCTATAGACAGACAGTGACTTCTGTCACAGCTTCTGCCTGTCCAAATCCTGTCTCTGACCTGGGATCCCCTTTACACAGTGAAGTTCCAGTGGGTCATCCCAGATGATCCCATCACATGCTCTCTCCTTCTGCTCTGACCTTTAACCTATTCATGTTCCTTATCATTCATGCCAAGAAAATGCATAATGGAGAACCCCATTGCTGCTGTTTTGTGACTGGTTTGTAGGTCTGAGGGTCAGTGGTATTAACTTATAGGGATTCTAACATTCCTTTCCAGAGACTAAGGTGCTTATAGGAGGAAGAGGGTCTACCAGTTTTACCTTTTGCACAGAAAAGAAGGGAGGAAGAGGAAGAGGACTTTCCTTCCCACTATGACTGGGCCATACTATTAATTGGTGGTAAAGTCTTTGTAAAGTATCTGTGCAGACCTTACTGCGGTCCTCCTGGGTGGTTCCCCACACTGCTGCTGGACCTGGATGCAGCACTTGGACCTTTCAGATCCGGGGTCTGGCTCCAGCGGCACCAGGCTCCCAGTAAAGAAGCAACCAACAGCGTGGATCAGCCCACAGGTAAAAGGATACTCCAGTGCGCCTTCAGCTCTTCAATTTTTTTCAGTGATTCTTGAACCTCCTTCCATATTTGCTCATCACCCGTCAGCATATCAGCATCCTGCTCAGGCCAAATGGGAAGACAGGCAAAGAAGACAAACGGCCCAATTAAAACCCGGGCAAAGGATATGAACAGACATTTCTCCAAGAAAGACAAACAAATGGCCTACAAGCACATGAAAACATACTCAGCATCATTAATCATTAGGGAAATTCAATTCAAAACCACAGGGAGATGCCATCTCCTGCCCAGCCCAGGCTATAGAAAAGCAAGGAACAGGAGGTATCGTTAGGGATAGAGAGAGCCGAAGGGCTGATGCTCCATGGGTGGATATGTACAGAGAGTGGTATGGCTTTGAAAAACGGGCTTTTCAGCTCCTCAGACAATTGACCTATATGTGCTCCTTACCATTTATGCCAAGAAAATGTGTGATGGAGCACCGTATTGCTGCTGCTTTGTGGCCGGTTTGCTATGAAGCTTCCAGCAAACACAGAAGAAACACTGTGTTCCTGACAGTGTTAGTAGTATCTCATTAGTTCTACTCCTGGGCAGCCAACCATGAGAATTGAGAATATGTTTAGCCAAAACATGTGCGCAAATATCAGTAGTCCAAAAGTGATGCAACTCAAATGTCCATCATCTGATGATGGACAAATAAATAAAAATTCATCACAACAGAATATTACTAGTAATAAGATTAACAGAGTATTGCCATATGCTATAACATGGATGAACCTTGAAAACATTAATCTGAGTGAAAAAAAAAAAAGCCAGTCATTCTGAGATGGTGAGATGGTTCAGTGGGCAAAGGTGGCTTCTGCCACATAGGATGGCCTGAGTTCAAGCCCTGGGACCCACGTGGTGGGAGGAGAAAACTAACTCTTAGAAGTCGTCTTCTGATCTCCATGTGTGTCCCATAGCACACACATGTCTCGCCAATGAAATTAAAATATAAGTGAAAATATAATAAAAGATTCTTAAAAGACAATATGTTACATGCTTCTACTTATATGAAATTCCCAGACTGGGAAATCCTTAGAGACAGAAGGCAAACTGGTGTCTGGTTAGGGCTATAGCAACTAGAAGGAATTGGGGAGTGATTACTAAAGGATAGGATTCCTTCAGGGATAATTAATATGTTCTAAAATTGACCATGATGTTGGTTTACAACTCCATAAAGAGACTAAAACCCACTGATCCTTATGTTGTAAACTGAGTGAACAAAACAAGTGAAGTATACAGCAATAAACCCGTTTTTAGGAAAGTATAAGAGAAAGAGTTTTTATAAAGCTGTGGTTTGGGGCTACAGCGATGGCTCAGTGGTTAAGAACACTTGCTGTTCTTCTAAAGGACTTGATTGTGGTTCCCAGCACCTGTGTTGGATGGTTCACAACCACCTGTAACTCCATCTCCAGGGGAGCCAGTGCCCTCTTCTGGACTCCAAGAGCACCTACACTCACACATGTGCACAACCATACAGAGTCACATACATCACATGCACACAGAATTTAACACACACACACACACACACACACACACACACACACACACACACACACACACACTTTCCTCTAAGAGCCATTATTTTTTGCAAATAGGATAGTGACCAGGCATGGCTTATCAACACAGCTAGCATAAAGGAGGGCAAGTCTACTACACTCATGTGGGCCAATTCTGACTTCTACATTAAAAATGTCTCATATTTTAATGATTTAAAAATGTAAAAAAAAAAAAAAAGAGAGAAGGAAAAAGCCACGAGATGGTGTGCTGCTGTCTATTAAACTCAGATGTCTATCTCACAAGCAGGCCTTCCATCCTCCCTGTTTGTCAATGAGCCCCCAGCACGCAGCGGAACGCTGGGCACTGAGCAGGTGTGCGGCTGGATGCTGGGTGTGCTACTAATGCCATCCCAGTTCACCTTCATGCAGTTCTTACATGGATAAGGCCATCCCTGGTTTATTCCCTGGTGGGGAGTGACTGCAGTCCACCCTGCGTCAGTCAGTCAGGTCCCCTGGGTCTTTAGAATACTGGAAAGCAATGATAAAAGCAACAGAAGAAAGTCTGTCACTTCCTTACATTGTCCAACACACTGGGTACCTGTCACTTGTGACTATTTCAACTTAAGATGGTTAAAACTACATACAGTAAGAAGCCCAGCTCCTCAGCTGTCCTATCCACATGTCAAGAGATTGTGCCACACCCTGGACATCACACTGGACAGTGCTGTGCCACACGATGTCTTGTGGGACACTGCCGCTGCAAAGAGGCTGACGGAGGGTGGGAGCACACTGTGGGCACCACTCCATCTATCATTCAGTATCCACACCTCTCTGCATGGTGCCCAGTGGGAGCTAGCCAGGAAACTGAGAAGGGGCAAGACCAGATGATGGTCAAGGTGAAGGCCAGGCATCCTCCTGGATCCTCTCAATGTTGTCTCCCCAGGAACAGAGCAATGCCTGTGAGAACCAGTGTCAGGATCAGTTCTGTGTTACCAGAGGGAGGAATACCTCACCCTGGTATTACGGTCAGGAAAAGGCGTGAAAGCAGTGAAGACCCTGAAAACAAGACTCCATGTTTGGTGTGAGTATTAGAACTGAGTGCTGTGTGTCTGCAAACCGGGACTTTATCGTTCTCTGTCTGTGCTATGTGCAATGTGTGTCTGACAGAAGCTGGTTTTAGGAAAGCCCCCACACATGCACTCTCCTTTTAGGAAGTCCTCCAGGCAAACCCAGCCTTGTGTCCACAGAAGGGGTAGGGATGGGGTATCTATCTGTGGAGAGGTGCACACCAGTCTCCCTCTGTGTTCTTGCTCCAAGCGCATGTTCATCTCCTAAAGTCTCAGACTGATCATTTTATGCTCCTGCTTCAGCCGCCAGAGTCATCTATCTATCTATCTATCTATCTATCTATCTATCTATCTATCTATCTATCTATCTTTAAATGTGCCCATTTGCTTGCCAGTCCTTATAGCGGACAGAGTAATAGATCCCAAATCATGTGGGAGGTCCTTCTGTATGCTGCAAATATGTGTTGCTTTTGTTGGCTGATGAATAAAGCTGTTTTGGCCAATAGCCAGACAAAATAGAGACGGGCAGAAAATACAAACAGAGATATGGAAAGAATGAAGACGGAGTCAGGGAGACACCATGTAGCTGCCGGAGAAGCAAGATGTGAGGTAATAAGCCACAAGCCTTGTGGTAAAATATAAACTAAATGGGTTCATTTAATTGTGAGGGCTAGTCAGTAATATGCCTGAGCCATTGGCCAAACAATTATATTTAATGTTAAGCCTCTGAGTGTTTTATTTGGTAAGTGTCAGGCAGGAAAGAAACCTCCATTTATACCTGAAGGTATCCATGTCCTGATTCCCCAGAACCTGTGGTGCTAGGTTACCTGGTAGATTAAGAGTTCTTTATAGATAATTATAAAACCAGGAACCATTCTGGATTATCCAGGTGGGTCCAATACAATTAAAAATAGGTGAGAAAAGCTGAAGAGGAAGTCAGTGTGTGTGTGTGAGTGTGTGTGTGTGTGTGTGTGTGTGTGTGTGAGTGTGTGTGTGTGTGTGAGTGTGTGTGTGTGTGTGTGAGTGTGTGTGTGTGTGTTCGCGCATTTGTGTACATTCGTGCATGCGTGCATATGTGTTGGGGGGTGGATTGAGGACTCAAGCAGCCACGCTGCCTTTGAAGATGGAGGACAGAATGAATTAAAAACACCAGTGGCCCTAGAGACTTTTCACAAGCAAGCAGCTCCTCCCCTGCTGCCAGTGGAAAGGAATGCAGCAGCCTTGATTCTCATCCAGTGAGATGGGCTCAGGATTACAAATAAAAAGTCCATATTGTTCTAGGTCACTTGGTTTGTGATTGGTTGTTACAGCCAAGAAGAAACCCAACACACACACCTTCTGGACTTCTGGTTACTGGAGCTCTTCACATGGCCCTTTCTGATTCTGAAATTTATTAATTTGATCACTCATTAACTCTATTAACATGTAATGAGTGCCTACTAGAAACTTCTGTAAGCACTGGGGTGGAGCAGGAAAAAAATGTCAGCCAATCATACTGTTTACACAGAAGAACTGAGATGGGAAACACAGGGAAGAGGCTGGGGGGCTCCGGGAGAGTTTTACAGTGTCCAGGGAAGGCCTCACTGAATGTTGTTTTGAGTAGCAGTGAAGGAGCAGCAGAGGAGGACAGCAAATTGTAACTCTGAAGCAGGGGCAGGCCTAAAGGCACAGAGGCCAGTGTGGCCCAGAGTTTGTGGGCTGCAGTTTATACAGTTGGGGCATTAGCCACAGTTGCTTGTAAGTTTTCTAAAGCTGAACACAGTCTTTAGTTTTTCTGAATCTCAACTCTTCTCTGTTCCTTTCTTTCCCCAACACCAAGCACAGAGCCTCTCGTGTTACAGAGCTCAGCAGATTGGCCTTAGAGTGGCTCTGGAAGAGGGAATGTCTACTTGGAAATTTCTAGATGTCTCTGCATGTGTCTCAACCCTCCCATCTCACATACAGGACAATAGAAGACTGAGGAACAGACACACACAGCTTCCACCTCTCACTGCCAAGGCAGGATTCGGGGCTGCTGGTCTGTCTGGCTCCGAGCCCAGCCTCCTTACTCTAGACCATCTTCATACAATCTGAATTTGCCTTTTTCTAGACTTGCTTCAAGGGTGAAATTTATCTGTGAGCTGATAAATCCAAAGTGTCTTCAACCATGGTTCACTACTTGCACTAGAAAAAACAGCAAAAACTCCTAATGTGGACTGCAAACTCGTCTAGTATGTGTGCGTGAGGTGAGTGAGACCATGGCCCCAAAAGAATGCAATTTCATATGGAAATTACAACTAAATGTGTGATGGGCTCTTCTTGGGGGTTGACCCTAAGTCTTTATTTACTGAACAAAAGCACAGGATGTCTGAAAGCGCTCTCAAGCATTCGATAACAACGGTGATGAGAGGACTTAGTGTTGGAGCTGGAGGAGGCCATGCTCCAGGGCTCAGAGCTGAATCTAACACTTGCTGGAATGTTCCACTGTGGTCAGTGTCTCCGCAGTCCGGGTCTC